AAAAAAAAAAAAAAACAAAAAAAAAAAAAAAAAAAACTTAATTGGGGGCTGGCCCAGTGGCGCACTGGAGAGTGCACCGCTTGGGAGCACGGCAGCGCTCCCGCCGAGGGTTCGGATCCCATGTGGAGACCCGTTCCCGCTCACTGGCTGAGCGCGGTGCGGGCGCAACACCGAGGGTTGCGATCCGCGTTGTCGGTCCCCGGTACGGGCGAGACACCGAGGGTTGCGATCCTTTTACCAGTCAGTAAAAAGGACAAAAAGGAAAAAAAAAAAACTTAATTGGGCATATAACTATGATAATATTGACCTACAAAAAAGAGAAAAATCCCGTATGTTATAAACCCACATGCATGGGCAGGCACACACACACAATACTTTGTGCTTTGAATAATGTTTATAAAAAAAGATGGGTAGGAAATGCAATAAAATATGAAAATACTATTTGTGTTTAGTGAAAATAGGGGTAAGAATTGTTGTTTAACCCCCTATTGTTATATTTATTCTACAACTTTTTTACCATTAGCGTATGAGGGTATCACTCTTAAATTAGAAGAGTAATATATTTAAAAAAGAAAATGATGTCTAAAAGCAAGTCATTACATGTTGAGAACTATAAAGACTTCACTGGTAATGATCTCAAGGCTATTAACATTTTAATGATATTTTGCATGTAGAAACTTTTGGAAATTTCAATAACAATATCCTAAAATGTAGTTTTTATGTGCATACATTTTAAATAGCATTAATTAGTTAAAATCACTTTTGGCTAGAAACATTTTTAATTTCAAAAAAAGGTGAAACCTTTATTATAAAAATAAAGATATAAATAATAAAAAGATATTTTAACATGTTTCTTCTTATTACATAAAATCTGGTAGCTTATGTCCTAAGACTATCCCCTTGTTAGTGATCCTGATTTAAATAAATTGGTTGTGTTGGGGAGAGTCATATTTCTCAAATTTAAAGGACAATTGTTAAAATTGGCAAGTTATCTTTGTGGTTAATGCTAACACTTCGGAATATACTTGTATTGGTACATTTGGGCCACTGTAATAAATTACCATAACCTATATGGTTTTTAAAGAACACGACTTTATTTCATAAATTTCTAAAGGCTGGGATGCCCAAAATCAAGATGCCGGCCGATTTGGTGTCTGGCAAGGGCTTCCTCTCTGATTAATAGATTGTGCCTTCTCACTGAGTCCTCACAAGGTGCAAAGGGCAAGGAAGCTCCATGGGGTTTCTTTTCAAGGCCACTGATTTGGATGAAACTCTCATGACCTAATCACCTAAAAAGCCCCCACTTTCTAACAACCATTACCATGGTGCTTAACATTCAATATATGAATTTTGGAGGAACACAAACATTCAGACCATAGTGTAATATATGGATGGAAAAATATATTCCATGCAAATAGAAACCAAAGGAGAGCAGGTATAGCTATACTTATCTGACAAAATAGAATTTAAGTCAAAACTGTAAAAAAGAGAAAAAGAAGGTCATTATATAATGATAAAGGGGTCAGTTCATCAAGAGGATATAATGATTGTAAATATATATGCACCCAACATGGGTACAGCTAAATATAAAAACTAAATATTAGCAGACCCAAAGGGAGAGATACACAGCAATATAATAAAAGTAGGAGACTTCATACCCAATATTCAACAATAAATAGATCAGCCAGCCAGAAAATCAATAACGAAACACTGGACATGAAGTACATTTTAAGCCAAAGAGATCTAAGAGAAATGTACAGAACATTCCATCTAACAGCAGTATAGTATATATTTTTCTCAAGCATGCAAGGAGTGCTGTGGGGATGCTGGTCAGAACTTCATCCTAATGGCTTTCAGAGCTCTGGTTTCAATAGTTACAATATTTTCCTTCGCAGGTTACTTAGCAACTGAGGCAGGGAAATGAATGGAATGCTATGTTTGTGTAAGATAAGGGGGGTGACACCAGCAACCCCCAAAGTAAGCAATAGGTGGCTGCACACCTGTTGCTTCCACAGACTCTCTCTCTTTGGCAGAACTTCACCTTTATCTCTAAATGCCTTAAAAGTTTCAATTCCTTCCCATGCCCCTTCACTGATTGGTGGAGAAGCAGCTGCATAGCACCCAGATGAATAGCCACCCAATCCTTCCCTTGTACGTAAATCCCTCTAGAGTAAACTTGCAAACTGTATGGAGTCGCCTGCTTGGTTCTTCTATCTTAAAGCACCTTCAAAGACTGGAGTATATTTTATCTTAGCACTGCACTCAGACAAACATTCTCCAGGATAGATCACATATTAAGCCACAAAACAAATCTTAAAATTTCCAAAAAGACTGAAATCATATTAACTGTCTTTCCCAAACAAGTGAAACTGGAAATCAATAACTGGAGGAATTTTGAAAAATTCAAAATATGTGGACGTTAAACAACATACTCCCGAACAAACAATGCATCAAAGAAGAAACAAACAAACAAACAAATGAAAAAAAATCTTGAGACCAACAAAAATGGAAACACAACATACCAAAACTTTTGGGATGAATCAAAAGCAGTGCTAAGAGGGAAGTTTATATCTATAAATGCCTACAAGAAGGAAAAAAGATCTCAAATGAGCAACCTAACCTTACACCTTAAGGAACTAGAAAATAAAGAGCAAACTACGCCAAAGACAGGGGAATGAAGGAAATAACAGGAAGCTCTTACAACCAAAAGAGAGGCACGATCCCTGGCAGGCCTCTTTAGATTTTGGAGGCAGTGCATAATATCACAAGGTACGTGACGAAGTGGTCTAAGTGTTCATTGTCCTCGCTCCTGCCACATGACCTGCCAGCCTGCACTTAAAGCCTTATGGGGAGTTTCCTAGGACTGGTTGACAGAGGGAGATTAAATTCAGGCCTCGTTTGCAGATGGTTCTGAGTGACATGCAGGTGTGGCTTAACAGTGGACATCTGTAGCGATATTGTCCCTTTCTGGGACTTCTCTGAATGTCACTGGGGAAGAGAAATCCTCCCGGAAGGCAGTGATCTGAGCAGTGCACCTGGTGGTAAATTTTGCTTGGAAGGAGAAATGGTTAGACAAAATTGTTTACAGGTTCATTGGCTGTGGCCTATTTGGCTGGGTGGTCAGGGACTTGGAAGAAATATTACTGGATAATTGGTGAAAAGAACATGGGGAGAAGAAGTGTATAGACAGATTTCTCTGGATGAGCAAAAAATTTGAAGATATTTGTGTCCTATGTGAATGGCCACCAGAGGGAGACCTCAATAGAAAAAGATTTTTATGATCAAGTAGACAGAATGACCCATTCTGTGCATAACAGTCAGCCTCTTTCTGCAGCCTCCCTTGTCATCACCCTACAAGCTCATGATGAAAGTGACCATGGTGGCAGTGATGGAGGTTGTGCAACATAGACATCCACTCATCAAAGCCAACCTGTCTACAGTCTGCTTAGTGCTGAAACTGCCAATAAAAGAAATTAACCCTGAGTCTCCAGTATGACGTTTCCCAGTGTGATCAGCCGGGTCTCTGATGACAGGTTGATTATGTTGGACCACTTCCATCATGGAAGGGGCAATGTTTTGTTTTTACTGGAATAGACCTTTACTCTGGGTATTAATTTGTCTTCCTGCACATAATGCTTCTGCCAAAAGTGCCATCTGTGGACTTACAGAATGCCTTTTTAACCATCATGGTATTTCACACAGCATTGCTTTAGCTCAAGGATCTCACTTCACAGCATATAAAGTACAGCAAATGGCTCATGCTTTTGGAATTCAGTGATCTTATGTTTTCCAGCATCCTAAAGCAGCTGATTTGATAGTATGATGAGATGGTTTTTGGAAGACTTAGTTACAGTGCCAGCTTAGTGGCAAAAACTTTAAGCTATGGGGCAAGGTGCTTGAGGCGGTTGTCACCGTTCATGTGAGTATCCAATATAAGGTGCTGCCTCATTCCTAGCTAGGATTTGCAGGTCCAGGAATCAAGGGGTGGAAATGAGAGTGGCTCCACTCATTACTCATAGTGATTCACTAGCAAAATTGTTTCCTCCTGTCCTTATGATCTTATACTCTGCTTGTCTAATAGTCTTAGTTCTAAAGAGAGAAATCACTTCACCAAGAGACACACCAATATTGAATTGTCAGTTGAGATTGTCACCTGGGCAAATTTAGAACTTTCATTTAATATTTTTTATAATCACTTTCTCTTTATTAACAATTTCTACTTGCTGAGTCATTGTCATTATACATGTCTTTAATTCTTTAAATACGTTTGTAGCTCTTGGAGCATATTTATAATAGCTGCTTTACATTTTATTTTTGCTTAGTTCAATACTTAGGCCCTCTTAGTGATTCTCTATTGAATTTTTTTATGTCACATTTTTCTATTTCTTGGCAAGTTTCAATATATTTTTGGAAAACTGGGCATTTCTTATAATACGTCTTATAGTCATGTGGATTCTGATCCAACCAGTATTTGCAGTTGT